CCAGAAGGCTAAAAAGGAGAGGTCCACTCTCAGGAGCCGTGGAGGAAGCCAGTAGACACTCAGGGTGTGAGACGCTCATTATTATGACGCTAGCAACACAGGAGAGAGCACCCGGCCCCCCAAGCCGTCATTTTGGAAAGGATTCTTGCTACGCCACGGTCACCCAGCTCCGAGTGCAGGAAGGGCTTTCCAAGTACAGAGCAGCCTTGGGCTCCCGTGTTTTGGGCACAGTCTGTGAGCAGCACCCTTGGCAGCCTGGGTGATCCTCTCGGGTGTGGATGCAGATTAACGTGACCTGCCACACGGCGTCCTGTTAGCTTTGGGTAGCGCTGTTGTCATTTTAAAAGAACCCACGGGAGCCGTTTCATTACCTGTCCCTCCACAAATTAGTTGTGTGGGATGTTAGTCTAGGGGGAAAAATGTGTGCCGTGATCGGTGAATATGTTTGGGAAACCTCGCTTTAAAAAGCTTTATGTTCACAGAAGAAAACTCCAGGAAGGAAACTGGTTGGACTTGCAAAACAAGTGGAAGACAACAACTGTGTTATCTGTGTCATGGAATAGATTCTCAGGTTAAGGAAGCCCTGCAGAGAAGTGGCTGCTGACTGTTACTAATAATGCCAGGATGGATGTTGACGGAATGTTTAAGCTGCCACTGCTTAAATTAAAGATAAATCAAGAAATCTTAAAAAAAAAAAAAAAAAGAATACTCAGGGCCGGGCGCGGTGGCTCACGCCTGTCATCCCGGCACTCTGGGAGGCCGAGGCGGGAGGATTGCTCGAGGTCAGGAATTGGAGACCAGCCTGAGCAAGAGCGAGACCCCGTCTCTACTATAAATAGAAAGAAATTAATTGGCCAACTAAAAATATATAGAGAAAAAATGAGCCAGGCATGGTGGCGCATGCCTGTAGTCCCAGCTACTCAGGAGGCTGAGGCGGGAGGATCACTTGAGCCCAGGAGTTTGAGGTTGCTTGTGAGCTAGGCTGACGCCACGGCACTCATTCTAGCCCGGGCAACAAAGTGAAACTCTATCTCAAAAAATAAAAAATGAAAATAAATGGACCAGACTGAGCAACAGCGAGACCCCGTCTCTACTATAAATAGAAAGAAATTAATTGGCCAACTAAAAATATATAGAGAAAAAATTAGCCGGGCGTGGTGGTGCACGCCTGTAGTCCCAGCTACTGGGGAGGCTGAGGCAGGAGGATCGCTTGAGCCCAGGAGTCTGAGGTTGCTGTGAGCTAGGCTGATGCCACGGCACTCACTCTAGCCCGGGCAACAGAGTGAGACTCTGTCTCAAAAAAATAAAAATTAAAAAAAAATAAATAAATAAATGGACAATCCTGAGCAAGAACGAGACCCTGTCTCTACTATAAATAGAAAGAAATTAATTGGCCAACTAAAAATATATAGCGAAAAAATTAGCCGGGCGTGGTGGTGCACGCCTATAGTCCCAGCTACTCTGGAGGCTGAGACAGGAGGATCGATTGAGCCCAGGAGTCTGAGGTTGCAGTGAGCGAGGCTGACGCCACGGCACTCACTCTAGCCTGGGCAACACAGTGGGACTCTGTCTCAAAAAATAATAATAATAATAATAATCGGTGTCGTCAGCGGATAAGAGTGGACGCTTCTGCGATCTCTGGGCTGAAGCAGCCCCAGCCGGGCCCGGGGAGGCCTCATCTCTTAAAGGCGTCTGTGGTTGTGCAAGGGCGAGAGTCTCGGCGGGCCGCTCTGAGGCTCGAGGTGCGGACGTCCGGCCAGGCCAAGGGGCTACGCCGGCCCTGAAGGCTCCCGGGAGGGTGGCCGTCTGCCCGCCTCGCTTCCCCCACCAGACCGGGCACGGCCCCTCCAGGGTGTCTCAGCGTCTTCTCCCACGTGGGGGGCGGTGCTGGCGGGCGCCCCGTCGGGTCAGGAGGGGTGTGTGACCCCCTTAGCCGTCTGGTCAGGCCCTGGGCCTGGTCCCAGAATGCCAGCGCCCCGGCTGATTCATTCTCTCTGTCTCTGTCTCTCTCTGTGTCTCTCTATCTCTCTGTGTCTCTATCTCTCTCTGTGTCTGTCTCTCTTTGTTTCTCTGTGTGTCTCTGTCTCTCTGTGTGTCTCTCTGTCTCTCTCTGTTTCTGTCTCCATCTCTCTGTCTCTGTTTCTGTCTTTATCTGTGTCTCTGTTTCTCTTTGTGTGTGTGTCTCTGTGTCTGTTTCTCTCTCTGTCTCTCTCTGTTTCTGTCTCTCTCTGTGTCTCTCTTTCTCTGTCTCTCTCTGTGTGTCTCTCTCTGTTTCTTTCTCTGTATCTCACTCTGTTTCTCTGTCTCTGTGTGTGTGTCTCTCTGTCTCTCTCCATCTCTCTCTCTGTTTCTCTGTCTCCCTCTCTCTATCTCTCTCTGTGTCTGTTTCTCTCTCTCTCCCCCCTCTCTCTGTGTGTGTGTCTCTCTGTGTGTGTGTCTCTGTTTCTCTCTCTGTCTCTCTCTGTGTGTCTCTGTCTGTCTTTCTCTCTCTCTCTCTGTGTATCTCTCTGTCTCTGTCTTTCTCTCTGTCTCTCTCTCTGTGTCTCTCTCTGTCTCTCTGTCTCTGTCTCTCTGTCTGTCTCTATCTCTCTCTGTATCTCTCTCTGTCTCTGTGTCTCTCTCTCTCATCCCCGGGAGCCACTTTTGTGGCAGACCGGGTTCCACGGGCCTCAGGGAGGAGCGGTGGGGGCCCTGGCACGGCCCTCCTGTCCCCGTGTTAGGGGCCGTTTGCAGACGGCCCTGGGCGGCAGCGGGAGCCTGGCCCTGTCCCCAGCATTGTGCTCGGGTCCCGGCTCGGGCTGACCTGCGTGCGACTGGGCCGTGTGAGGCGTTAGAGACAAGCCCGTCTCCGTGGGGGGGGGGGGGGCTTGCTTGTGCAGAAAGGAAGGAAATACCTCCGTGGGATCTGACTTTTCTTCCCCTCTCTTCACCCAAAAAAATACAAAGAGACTCTCTGTCCCCCATGCGAATGTCGGCTTTAAATCTCTTAGGTTTGGATTAACTCTGCAAAGGAGAAAGGAAAAAAAAAAAAAAATCTGACAGGCTTTCAGATATGACTCAGAAAAACTTTTCTCCCCTGGATGCCTGTTGTTCAGTTCTGCAAAGCCAAAGGCCGGTGGGCTGAATGGTGGCTTTCATAGTTAGCATGACAATGGGCAGAATGGGCAGCCCAGAATTTTCCACCAGCGGACATTGCCTGCAAGGTGGCAAAGGCAGGAATAAATCTTCTCTTGCAACCCCCTGCACACTCCCCCACCCCTCCGGCAAATTAAAATATATTAAAAAATTAAGTCAATGGGGTATTCTTCGTTGTTACATGACTTGGAATCTTATCTTGCCTTCTGCCCCCAGCAGGAAAAAGAAATTATTTTTTTGTTGTTTTTGTTTTTATTTTTTTATACAGTTGCTACCTAACTAAGAAAGGCTTCCTCCTCCGATCTAAAGAAAAGCCCCCTCCTTGACAGACACTTCCTATTGCACAGCTGCTATTGGTTTTCACTATTGAGGATGTCGGCAAGCCCGTCAAAGATCATGTTTTGCTTATTAAACGAAGTGACTTTTATGGGAATATTTGTCCTCTCTCTGGTGCCTGGAATTGGGGGGGGGCTATTCCTCGAGCCCACGTGGCAAAATTCACTTTCCCGAAATTTTGCGGAATCGCGTGCTGACACGGCTCTCGCGGCGTTCAAAGCTGTTCGATCCTGCGTAGTGAACAAAAACCTTAGCACGCTTGAACCCACGGCGGCGATGAGCCCGTGGTAAAATGGAGAAAAAATTTAAACGGAGGTTCACGAGTTCCTTAGTTCAGAGTCAAAAGGAACAGGGAACCTGAAACATAATTTAAAATTAATCTTTATATTTGGTAAAGGTTTGATCGATTAGGACCGTTTGTGTGTAAATGTGGAATTGCCTAGAAGAATTAAACTCAAGATCTGTTTTAATTCCTGAACCATACCTGTATTTTTTTTTTAAATTCCTGAATGATTTTGAGTAAAATGTAAATGTGCACGCTTTAGTTGGCTGTTTTTTAATGGAATTATAACAATACATTTATGGATTTAAATATGTCCTACAGATTTGCTCTTAACAAACAAATAGACTAAAGGAAGTGAGACTAAAATATTTATTTTGGTTTTATTGTACAACACAATTCTTTTTAAGCGCTGTGTAATTGTATTACAGAGGTATTTTTTATTATAATTGCAAGCAACTAATAGAATTTATTTTTTAATCATAGAATCATTTTCTTTGCAACCCGCAAGCCTATGATGTACCCATTTGGGATTTAATAGAAAGAAATCATTAAAGTTATTTTTAATATAATTTTATTTGGGTTTTACATACATATTTGGTTTGACTTTAGCAATAACAGGCCTGCACTGATATGAGTTATATAAATCACTGAACAAAAAATTAAGATTATCCCTAACCTAATATTACTATTAACCAAAAATAATCAAATTATTTGCATAAATATCATAATTTTGATTATACTATAGTCATGATTTATCTGGATGATTTCTAAATATCCTGCAACTTTACAAAAGCAAAGTTAATTTTCACTTGCCAGAAATAGTTAAACTTAGTTTCTAACTATTATTTATCTTACAAGTTATATTATTATAAGAGAATTTAATCCAGAGTATATTTTAAGTTTGCTCAAAAAGATTGATTCTGGTGTTCTAAGTTGTAAAAGAAGGTCAAGGTTTATTATAATGTCGTACACTGAGCACAATATTACAGATTTCATGTGAAATATGAAAAGATCGGGTGGACCATACAACTGTGCTCTGTCAGCTACTTAAGGGAAGAAGAGATTCAGTAAATGCACGTTTTAATGCATTTAGCTTTTAATGCCAGGTATTTCGTACGTTTGAAATCAGAGTTTATTGCATATTCTCTCATAGAATGGTGTTCTTAAAGTGATGTGAAAACTAGGCGAGAAACGATGCATTTCTTTTTGTTTTTCAAGTTAACGTTTTTTTCCGACGGTTTTGCAGGCAGCTATGCTGTTTGGTTCCGGAGTGTTCTGGATGGGCTTGTTCTTTATTCCTGTGGCATCTCTCCTCCTCGACGTGGTGTATAAGGTGTAAGTATGATAGCTGGCCGTACGCACAGAAATGCAGACGCATATTAATCCTCAGACTTCTCTAGTCGTAACATCAACCCAGGCAGGGAGAGTTTGCAGGACAGGAACTAGTAAAATTAACTAATTTTAAATAAAGATGAAAAAGGTGGGAACTAGGTTCAGGAGCTGGAAAACTAAATTAGTTTAAAAGACCAAACGAGAAGTAAAGCAGGTAGTTTTCCATTAACCTCAGAGAAAAGTGCATTTACGTTGAAGAAAATTACATCAGAGAGTATGTTTTAAAAAAAAAAAAAAAAATTAGCCCCCCAAACCCATACGAGGTAGAAGAAAAAAATTGTACTACCTCCAAACATGTTCTTCTAAATAGTTATGAAATGGAATATTTTTGCTCACCTGATTCTAAACCTATATAAAATACAGAATGGAAGAGATGAAGTTTATCTCAAGGATTGTAACTTTTAAAATGTTATCTCTTCCCACAATAAAAGGTTTAAGTTAATTTATATGATGTTTATTTAATAACTGCGAGAGTTTTAATATTATAAACCTAAGCCATTTACTTGAAGACTATTATTCTTAATGATCAAAATTACTGTGATATTTTAGATTCTATTAAAACTGCTCATACTCTGGTTTCTTTGTACTTAGCAGCGGCATGATAAGAAACCAGACATCATCTCGTTTTGTAAACTCTTTGCATGAGTATTTCTATGCAAACCTTTTTTTTTTTTTTTTTTTTTTTTCTCTTTCCAGTGTCAAGAGGACTGCTTTTAAAACATTAGTAGATGAAGTTCAGGAGCTGGAGGCAAAATCTGAAGACCCAGGAGCAGTTGTGCTTGGAAAAAGGTACGACCCACACTGAATATATTCTTTTCCAAGTGAACTTTAAATTTATCTTTTGCTAGTGGTTGGAAATAGGGTGGTAAACTTGTGTTTATCAGTTAACAGGGAGCTGGCAGTGTGGCGGACAGATTTGGGAAGCAAACCAGATCTGTCACTTTCTAAGCTTGTGTGTGGCCTTAAGCCAAGGGGCTTAATGCCACTGAGCCTCAATTTCCTCGTCCATAAAACGGGAGCGATAATACCTCCCTCATGGTTAGTGGTGAGAACCGAATAGAGTGTTATTATTAAGCACGTAGCGCAGTACCTGGTGCTTAATGAGCATTCCATAAATGGCAGTTACAAATATTTTAGTGTGTTATTAAACTGAAAGGGAAGAAAAAGACTGTTAGCTTGAAACAGTGTCCACAATAAAATAGGACGTAATTGTAATCACTGTTTGACATAGGACGAACTGCCCTATAAAGACATGTATGGGCCGGACGCGGTGGCTCACGCCTGTCATCCTAGCTCTCTAGGAGGCCGAGGCGGGCGGATTGCTTGAGGTCAGGAGTTCGAGACCAGCCTGAGCAAGAGCGAGACCCCGTCTCTACTAAAAATAGAAATTATCTGGCCAACTAAAAATATATAGAAAAAATTAGCCGGGCATGGTGGCGCATGCCTGTAGTCCCAGCTACTCAGGAGGCTGAGGCAGGAGGATCGCTTGAGCCCAGGAGTCTGAGGTTGCTGTGAGTTAGGCTGACGCCACGGCACTCACTCTAGCCTGGGCAACAAAGCGAGACTCTGTCTCAAAAAAAAAAAATAAAGACATGTATGATTCAGTAATTATTAGGAACTGACCTAGATATAGATCATCTATGAAGTAAGTTATGTTTCTATGTTCTTTTCCTCACTGCTGCCACCACCCCTCCCAAGAAAAGCAAAGTTAAAAAGCTAATTGTGTTCACGAAATTCAGAAAGCATTGTAAAAAAGGAATTAAAATCAGTTGAAAGCAGTCTGTCATAAAACACAGTTATGAAGATAGTACCAGGAATTTGTTTTGTTTTGTTTTCTCTTTCATCGTGCTCAAGTGAGATAACGTTTTGTCTAAATCACAGGAAATGTCTGAACCCTGGTACCGAGTTTCCCCGAAAATAAGACAGGCTCTTATATTGATTTTTCCTCAAGAAGACACCCTAGGGCTGATTTTCAGGGGATGTGTTATGTTATTTTGAATGCAGCACAACCATCTACATTTATTCAAATAGAGTGAAGTCATCTTCTTCTGGAACATCATCCTCACTCTCCAAACCCCGAATTCCATCCTGAATGTCTTGCGACTCTGTTTCCTTTAGAACCACCGGCCCTGATCTCTCCTGTGGAGCACTAGAGCTCTCACGGGGCGGGAAAAACGAGCTGCTCGTGTTCTTTCCCGCTCCGCGACAACAGGCATGGGTTGTGCAGATGCCCTGCGCAGCCACGCCCGTCACTGGGGCTGATTTTCACAGCCACGCCCATCACTAGGGCTGATTTTCATAGCCACGCCCATCACTAGGACTGATTTTCATAGCCACGCCCACCACTAGGGCTGATTTTCATAGCCACGCCCATCACTAGGGCTTATTTTCGGGGTAGGGCTTCTACTGCGCACATGCTCAGAAATCCTGCTGGGGCTTATTGTATGGGTAGGTCTTATTTTCGGGGAAACACTGTGCAAGGAACTCTGCGAGGTGAATTTTCAGGTGAAGGGGGAAGGTGGGGGGGAAGGACAGGTATTCTCACTCCCGTCGTACACAGGTACGCAGGGCACGGAGTTAGAGAGAGGGTCAGTGCTTTGCCACGTTAGCAGCGGCAGAAAAGTAGCAAAGGGAAGCAGAACCGTGAACGGCTGGGAGCAGGGGCTCCAGGCCCAGCTCTGTCACTTGTAACCTCAGGGACTTTGTCTCTCTAAGCCCCGGCTTCCTCATCTGGAAACTATGGAGATGATGGGTCTGTTACAGGTTGGTACAGGGATTCCAGGAGGTGGCACCTAAAATGCAAATGAAGCACTTGGCGCCCAGTGAGCTCTCAGCACATGCCAGTGCTACTGTTTTCAGAAGGGAGGCACACACTAGCGTGTGACCCGTAGGAGCTGAGGCCCCGGTCTCAGCCTGGGTCCCCAGTCTGGTGCCTCACTCCGTCGTGTCAAACTGGGTAAACACCGTGAATCAGATTAAAATGACACAGACCATGTTTACCCGTAAAACAAGCCCCAGCAGGATTTCTGAGCATGTGCGCAATAGAAGCCCTACCCCAAAAATCAGCACTAGTCATGGGCGTGGCTATGAAAATCAGCCCTAGTGATGGGCGTGGCTATGAAAATCAGCCCCAGTGACGGGCGTGGCTGCCCAGCGCATCTGCACAACCCATGCGTGTCGTCGCGGAGCGGGAAAGAACACGAGCAGCCCTTCTCATCCGCCCCGTGAGAGCTCTAGTGCTCCACAGGAGAGATCGGGGCCAGTGGTTCTAAAGGAAACAGAGTCGCAAGACATTCAGGATGGGATTCGGGGTTTGGAGAGTGAGGATGATGTTCCAGAAGAAGACGACTTCACTCTATTTGAATCAATGGAGATGGTCATACCGTCCTTCAAAGATCACTAGAAATTCCTTAAGATGCCACATTCCAGAAACGTACATGGGTTTATACCAACGCTAACATTTTTTAGTGTTTCTAAGTGAAATAGCATTTTAAATATGGTGTCTTCCCACTTGACCTCCACCAAGGATCTAAGTTGCAGCACTTTAGTAAATTTGGAAATAAGGTAACAATGCTTAAGTGGTAGTTGTGTGATTGCATTAAACAAATCAGAATTCGCAGAGCCTGGTATGAAAATGAAAGACCACACAAGACCGAGTTAAAACTGCTAGCCAGGACTCGAGAATACCGTTTTCAATGTGACTGTCCCCTTAACTTCCACCCGAGATCTAAGTGGCAGCATTTCCGTAGGTTTGGAAATAAGGTAACTGTATTTAAGTGGTAGTTGTGTAGTTGCATTAAACAGACTCGGGATTTGCATAGCTTGGTATGAAAATGAAAGACCATATAAGATTGAGTAAAACTGCTGGCCAGGACTTGCGAATAATATGTGGTTAGTGAGACAGTATCTTGGTCTTTTGTCTTTTTCTTTTTTTTTCTTTTTTTTTTTTTGTTTTTTTGGTCTTTTCACACTGTGTCATGCTGTTCAACAAAAAGTGAACTTTTTTAGTGTCAATAACCATTAATGTTAACATGTTATCAGTATACTTTATAATGTGATTTAATAGTCCTATCAGTACCCATAAACACCAATGGCATAGGACACAGAATTGCATAAATTCTGAAATGATAGTTCCTACATTTAGGATAGGACTAGAGAAACACAACTCATCATCACTTATTGTTCATCCAGCAGCCTCCCGTAAATGTGCATTTATATTCTGGAGAAAGGGCTCTTTGCTCTACAAGGACTAAAAGCAAGAAACTCAAGGTAGCTAAGGAAAAACAAAACAAATAGCAAAAACCTAGTCGTTTTCTCAGTAAAGGGGTAGAATGAGGGCGTTTTGAATTAAAACTCACGAGTGACAACCGGCGTCTCACAGTGAGCTAATGCTAGATACAAACCGATGCAGAGAAATGATCTTTACAAAGCATCTTTTGTTTTGTGATTATCTCTGTTCTACCGTGTTTCCCCAAAAATAAGACCTACCCAGAAAATAAGCCCCAGCAGGATTTCTGAGCCTGTGCACAGTAGAATCCCTACCCCGAAAATCAGCCCTAATGATGGGCGTGGCTATGAAAATCAGCCTTAGTGATGGGCATGGCTATGAAAATCAGCCCTGGTGATGGGCGGGGCTATGAAAATCAGCCCTAGTGATGGGCGTGGCTATGAAAATCAGCCCTAGTGGTGGGCGTGGCTATGAAAATCAGCCCTAATGATGGGCGTGGCTATGAAAATCAGCCCTGGTGATGGGCGTGACTATGAAAATCAGCCCTAGTGACGGGCGTGGCTGCGCAGCGCATCTGCACAACCCATGCGTGTCGTCGCGGAGCGGGAAAGAACACGAGCAGCCCTTCTCATCCGCCCCGTGAGAGCTCTAGTGCTCCACAGGAGAGATCGGGGCCAGTGGTTCTAAAGGAAACAGAGTCGCAAGACATTCAGGATGGGATTCGGGGTCTGGAGAGTGAGGATGATGTTCCAGAAGAAGACTTCACTCTATTTGAATCAATGTAGATGGTTGTACCGTCCTTAAAAAAAAAAAAAAAAGATAACACATCCTCTGAAAATAAGCCCTCAGGTGTCTTCTGGAGGAAAAATCAATAGAAGACCCTGTCTTATTTTCGGGGGAAACACGGTAGTTGGTTTTTTTTGTAATAAATTCCTTGGAACCTGGAAGATAAGGGTGGGGGAGGCACCCCCGTTTGTTGCGTGCTTTCTGCATGTCAGAAATGGTACTGGCCATTCCCCTAGCCCTCCCAGTCCACCTGCGAGTTAAGTATTGTCCTCCTGTTCTATATGAGATGCTGAGAAAGGTTCGCCTAAAGTGACGCAGCTAATAAGTAGCAGCCTCGGAATTAAACCTAAGCAAGACCCCAAAGCCCACGCTCTTTCCTGAGCAGTGTGCTACTTTCACAAGGAAGAGACTTTCTTGTTTTTTTTGGTGGTGGTGGTGGTGGTTGTTTTTTGTTTTTTAACACCGGACGTTAGCTTGATGTCACAGCTGAGAGCAAGCGTCCTGCAAACCGTTGCTTAAACAGGATCACGTTCTATATTTCAAGTGCCGTCGTACGAAAGACGAAACGTTCTCGTGCAACGATCTCCTGTTGCAATACTAAAAAGCGTCATGCCCTGAGGAAGGCCAGCCTGAGACCTGGAAAATGTATTTCGGGAGGAAGCAAGCCTCAGAATGATACCTCGGTCATCCTCTGGTCCGCTGTGGTCATTTCGGTTTTAAACCAAAGTCAGACCACCTGCTGCTGAAGCTGGGGCGTCTGCTAAGTAGTGACATGGTTTAGTGCCCCCAGGGTCCCAGGGCCTGTGATGCTAGATCATTTAAAGAGCAGAGCAGGAGAAGTGCTTCTGAAGGCCCCTTCTCATTCCTCAGATCTGTTTATCTCACTGACAAAAAAGCAAGTTTTACAACTATTCTCAGAGCCGCTGGAGTTGCAGATGGATTAGTTTTTCTCGCCCTTCACTTAGCTAATTCCCAGCGACAATAAAATACGGTCTAATGGTGCCAGTTAACATGCCTGGACTTTGAAAATATGTGTGGAAGATTACTACAAATGTCAACATTTCTAAATATTTTTCCTTCAGTTTTGGCCTCTGTGTTTGTGTAAATCATTCACGCAACGGGTTCATGTGCCGGAGGATTCTTTACATGCATGTATTATATATGCGATAAATATTGTTCCATTTCAGGGTCTCGGAAAAATTGGCAGAATACGGAACTGACATAACTTAACAGCAATTTAAGTAAAGCTTTTACAGTGGGAAAAAAACACAGGATGGAAATTTTTCAGCTGAGTCAGTTCCAGTTATTAAAACAAAATTGCATAAACATTTGCCTTCAGTGCATGTGGATTATTTATTTGCTCCTCACACTTATTCTCTTCTTTCATATCAAAGCAAAATTTTATAAATCAACCCAGGGAGAAATGGCAGGATTGGGAAGATTGACGATGTTTATAAGTGCATTTAGGAATTATTACTCAGATTGATTTATCTGGCAAACGTTTGAGTTCCTACTGTGTGAGGTAGTCAGTGAGGGAAAAGATCCATTATTTCTCGCAGTGCACTTTTAGAAGTCGCATAATTATGTGGATTTGTATCTGCGGAGAAGATTATTCTAGACATCCATTGAAAAAAATAAATACCTTCCTTGTTGTTTTACCTAGCCTAATTGCTTTCTGAAAATAGTTTATTTTAAAGTGAAATTAAGGAACCATGTCCGAGTGGTAATGGCATTTTTCTAATTAAAAAGGCAATACAGTTTCTTTCTTCTATGTGTAAACGTAGTTAATATTTAGTTCCGTTCATATTTTTAACTAAAAAAATATTTTGCACCAGCTAGGTGCACAGTATAAAAAAGACATCGTAATAATTAAGGTGTTTTTTTTAATTCTATAAAGGCCATGCTTAGAATATATGTTGTAAGTTAACCAAGTTTTCAGAAGTAATCATAGTTAATATTTAGTTTCGTTAACATTTTTAACTAAAACAATATTTTGCACCAACTAGATGCACAGTATAAAAAAGACATAGACATAATTAAGGGTTTTTTTTTTAATTCTAAAAAGGCCATGCTTAGAATATATGTTGTAAGTTAACCAAGTTTTCAGAAGTAATCATAGTTAATATTTAGTTTCGTTAACATTTTTAACTAAAACAATATTTTGCACCAACTAGGTGCACAGTATAAAAAAGACATAGACATAATTAAGTTTTTTTTTTAATTCTAAAAAGGCCATGCTTAGAATATTTGTCGTAAGTTAACCAAGTTTTTCAGAAGTGAATAACCATACTGATGAGTTGGTATTTATTATTATTATTATTATTATTAATTATGTTGTACCAGTATTTGTGTTGTCACCGTTTGACTTACATGTAACTACGGGGCAAGGAAATCTTACTTTTTACTAGCAGGGGATTATGGGGGACAAAACTCCTCTTTAGCTACGGGACATAAATGGCCTCAAAAGTGTCTGGCTAACTAAATACGTGCAATCTCTTTTGCTATCTGGGAAAAAACGAGGGAGAGGAAAAAAAAAAAAAAAAACCCAGGCTGCAGGTTTCCCAAGCGACCTTTTGTCTGAGTCTGACTGTCTGGGGCTGCCCCTGCCTGTTGAGCTGACGGTCCGTTTCCCACGTTTGCACCTGCCCACAGCCTCACCGAGCGGGCCCAGCTGCTCAAGAACGTCTTCAAGAAGAACCACGTGAGCCTGTACCGGTCCGAATCTCTGCAGCAAAACCTGCTCCGTGAGTATTCCAGTTCTCGTTTTGTTTTTTTTTTTTAAATGAACCCCCTGCCATTGCCACCTCATAGCGTTTGTCAGAGCAGGAGCTGGGCTGCAGGGACATTTAACCTTTTGCCACTGATGCCTAAAAGGAGTCCAGCGTATTTTGCAGCATGTCCTGCAGATATCAATAACAATAGTCAGAAAAATGCACTGGGTGAGACAATCTGGCTTTTACCAGGAGAGAGAGAGAGAGAGCATTTTAAAGTCTTGCTCTTTTCCTTAAAGAAAAACAGTATTTCCACATTGCTTGTTTCCTTCAATCTTACCTCTCCCCCCCCCCACGCCACCCATACACACAAAAAACAAAAAGTAAAATAAATCCTAACTCTTAAAAGCTGCCTCTGTGTTGTTATCTTTTCTGCTTGAGCAGCTTTGCAAGAAGCTTTCAGCTCTCCTACGGCACCGGGAAGCATATATTTTCCCTTTCTGAGATATTTATGAATATCTGGAGTCGTAAGGAATTACTGGGGGCACTGTGCCCTCTTAGCATTTCAAGGATCTGAAGAAGAATATGAAATATATAAGGCCCTGCAGCGAATTTATCTGTGTTAATAATATATCTTTTGTTTCATGTTGTTTCCACATATAATTTATTTTCGTTTTTTTTTTTTTTTTTTTGCACACTCATGTCTAATGCTTTTGCTCTTTATACTTCGAGAGACCTTTTCTGAAGATGTGACACTCTTGGGGGCTGTTACTCATCCCCGACTCCCCTTCCCAATCCAACCCTGGTGGGGTGTCAGTGAGCTCGGAGTGTAGATTCTGAGAGCCAAACAGGACAGTGTGCTTTGCAGGCAGGCAGGCCGTTTTTCCACCCTGACCACCGTGTCTATCTTTTCCTCCTCACTCTTCTTAATTGGCAGATACTAATCGTATGTGTGCATGGGGTACATTGTGATAGTTCGATAGATGTATACAGTCGTCCCTTTGCACCTGTGGGTTCGGCCTCTGTAGAGTCAGTCAACCGCAGATCAAAAATGCTCAGTAAAAAAAAAAAAGCTCACAAAGTTTTGCAAAAAGCAAAACTCGAACTGGCCGTGCACCGAGCATTGCACTGGATCTATGTAAATCAACTGACGTGCGGGGTCGTGTTGGGCATTACGAGTAATCCAGAGATGATGTGAAGTATCGGGAGGATGTCTGTAGTTTATGTTGCAAATTCTGTGCCATGTCACAGAAGGCAGTGTGGTCCCCAACCTTTTTGGCACCAGGGACCATTTTCATGGAAGACAGTTTTTCCATGGACCCCGGGGAGAAGAGGGGGAAGGTTTCAGGATGACTCAAGTGCATCACGTTTATCGTGCACTTTGTTTCTATCATCATTACATTGCAACATGTAATGAAATAACTACACAGCTCACCATGGGTTGGGGATTCGAGCATCTGTGGATTTCGGTATTCAAGGGGTTCCTGGGCCGGGCGTGGTGGCTCCCGCCTGTCATCCTAGCACCCTGGGAGGCCGAGGCGGGCGGGATCGCTCAAGGTCAGGAGTTCGAGACCAGTCTGAGCTAGAGCAGAGACACCCCATCTATACTAAAAATAGAAAGAAATGAACTGGCCAGCTAAAAAAATATATAGAAAAAAATGAGCCAGGCGTGGCGGCACATGCCTGTAGTCCCAGCTACTCAGGAGGCTGAGGCAGGAGGATCGCTTGAGCCCAGGAGATTGAGGTTGCTGTGAGCGAGGCTAACACCACGGGACTCACTCTAGCCTGGGCAACAGAGTGAGACTCTGTCTCAAAAAAAAAAAAAAAAAAAAAAAAGAGGGGTGTTTCTGAAACCAGTCCCCAACGGATGCCTGGGGTGATGGAGTCAAGCTAATTGACCTTATCCGTCACCTCATCTGCGTATTATCGTTTTTCCTTTCCTCCTCACCACCTGAGCTGTATGGAACTCCGTGATCCCACTTAATCAAACTCCCTCACTCCTTCCAGAAGTGAGGGGCGCACGAACGAAGGACGGTCGGGGTTGAGAATGGGGGCATTGAAGGGGGGACGCCCAGTGCCCACCCGGTCTTCCAGGAAGCACTTGTAGAATCCAAACTGGCATCCCCCACGGTCACCGTCATCCCGGTCTTCATTTTGCAGCTGCGTCTTTCCCAGACGTTAGAAATTCTTTTTTTTTTTTTTTTGAGCGGGTGGGAGGGACGCATCCGTGTCCCCCAAGCTAGAAAACGACCGCTCGGGAGAAACCCAGAAGGACGGTGATTTTTTTTCCCAGCGCCTGAGCGACCGACGGTTTCTGTTTTATCTTTAACTTGCAGACGGGTACGCTTTCTCCCAAGACGAGAACGGCATCGTCTCGCAGTCCGAAGTGATCCGAGCCTACGACACCACGAAACAGAGGCCCGAGGAGTGGTGATGGGGGAAGGGCCGAGAGGCAGGCCCCCCCGCCGCCTCTGCTTAGGAGAGCCACCCAGGCTGTCACCGCCACCTGCCGGACCCGTGCCAGTGTGGTCCACGGAGAGGAAGGTGGATCTGAGCTCCCCTGGCCGGTGGACGTTCAGACCCGTGTACATTATTTATAGACATAAGCACTGTGCAACTACACTGTAACACCGTCTCTCTCTCTCTGAGTTCTTAGAAGTGTCTGTTTAAGTCTCTGTAAACGGAAATTGAAAACTCGCCAGAGTGCTTTCTTAAACGGAGACTGGGTCAAGTATTCTCATGCCACCACTCCGGGGCTGTAACCGGCTGTCAGTGTCTTGGCTTCACCACCAGGTGATCAACCATCACAAAACTCTAAAAAAACGGTATTAAGTTAAGGGGACGTTTGGGATCCAGACTTAGATTTTAGGCTGTGCTGAAACAAACCAGCATTCTTAAGGAAGGCGGACTCTACCGAGCATCATTTCTAAATGAGGCGTTATTGCCTGTGTGTGTGTGTGTGTGTGTGTGTGTGTGTGTGTGTGTGTCAAAAAATTGTCTAGAGGATGAACCTCTGCCAAAGAAGTTCGGTAAAGTGTATTTTCTAGCTCGGTAGTCATTTGGCCGGAAATTTTAAAGAGTTACTGCCAGTTCTGCTGTTAAGATCTGCATGCTCGACTTTTCAAAATGCAAGAGTGGTTTGCAAAAAAAAAAAAAAAATGAATATTTCAAGGCATCTGCTACTAAAATCTGTGATGTCGCACCTTTTGGCCTTACAAACGCTTCCTTGCCGTGTGTCTTGTGTGTGTGTGTTAAAAGTTAGAGGACACCACGTGTGTTAGATGTGACTCTTTGTCATGATGACACTGATTTTTTTTTTTTTTTGTAATTGTCACGTATGTTTCGGTCCTTTCTAGTGAGGTTTCGTTCATCACTTAGGTTTTTCCGAAATCCTGGCTTGTGCTGTGTGGATTCAGTGCCGCTGTCAATTTCTCTTAGAAGTTTTCCCTCCCTGGAAAAGCACGCTTACGTATTTGTGTGGCGTTTCCAGTTTCTTTCTGTCGCGCTGTTCGAAATACCGACGACAGGTCAACGCGTGGGCTTCTGTGACGTGCTTTGGTTCTGTCTGGTCCCTCTAGAGACGCTTTGCTGTCTTCCCGGCGCACCCCCGTGTGGTGGCACTTGTCCCTCTGCCTAAGACCGAAGATGACGTCACAGTTCGCTCCCCAAGGAGTTCCCCAAACTGGTCACGTGCTGCTTAAATTTGTACATTTCCCCCCTTTTTAAAAAAAAAAAAAAAAAACGCCTGTTTTCCTCCAACCTGTGACTTTACAGTTAAAGGATACTTTTCATCGTGAGTAGTGTCATTAACATGCTTTCAAATGTACGTTCATTTTAATTATCTTCAGCGTTTTCCAAGAAAAGTCTCCTGAAAATGCCTGTTTCGCCACCAACAGCAAAGGATGAAGGGGCTGCTTAAGAACCCACCGCCCGTTTTCTACACCATTTTTTAACTACGCTTTCATTTAAAAAAAAAAAAAAGAAAAGAAAAAAAAAAAGGAATTATGATTTTCAGATACACTTCAGAGATTGCAGCAAACTCTATACCTTTTACTCAAAAGCCTGTTTGCCTTTACGTGCACTTGTCAACCAGATAGGTGGAACTTCCTCTTTTAGAAAAATAAAATAAAAAAGTCAACCGAAATTGAGAAGGAAGGATGATTTTTTCAGATCGCCCCTTGAGTTTAAGACTGTCACATTCTTTCCATCCTTTTTTTTTTTTTTTCTCCCTCCATCTGGATTTAAAATTGAGATCGGTATCATTGCTTTCTCTGTATCTGTAGCTAGTTGCCAGCGCACCTCCACGGTTTCCACAGATAAGGGGTCACTATAACACGAGGCACGCCATTCCAACCTGAAGGTGGTAAGGTGTTCACATTGCTCTGTTTCCTAAACCCTTCCTACTTGGCGCAGGAAGATTGAGAGACTCGTGGACCTGGACATCTGGGAAGGACCCCAGGTGTGTAAGAGTCTAAGATCCTCTTCAAGACTCCAAAGGCACGGACTCGGACTGGTGACCAAATGGACAATTCAGAGCGGCTCTCCACGGGCCGGATGACAGATTGAGGTCGAACCGCAAGATGGTGAGAGGCCAAGAAGGACCCGTCTGTCCCCCTTTCCAGAGAAACGCTTCATGGCAGGGACGCAGAAGAGCTGCTTCCATTTGTTCTCCCTGCACGAGCCACGTCCTTCTGCAAAAAACTCGAAAACATGAGAAAGCACGGAGAGAACAGAACTGAATTTCCTGACTTTAAGAAAACTGTGAGTTTTATGTTTTATCTTGAGAAGACTGTCTTCTGTGGAGCTCTTCAACGTGAGAAGAACACTCGCGGTGAATTACGCGTGACAACGTGATCAGAAACACGGCCCATGTATGTCTTTTTTGTCCCGTAGTCCTGTTTTTAATCATTGGCATTCAGTGAATCTCTTTGCTTCTCGGGTTGGGGGGCAGGGTGCGGGGCTTGACCGCCTTGGTAAAACTCAGAATATAACATTGCATAATTTCAGTGACTGGACAGTGTTAAATTAGAAAACACTTTGATTGTTTTCACCTTCATTGGGGAAAAAAAAAAAAAAAAAGTCAACATGGTTTACCAGGATGACAACAAACAGCCGAAGTGACTTTTAAAAACGCGTGTTTTCCTGAAAAATAAAGGACACATACAGTTCATTTTAAAGTTCCTCACAGGGGCTCTGGCAAATGCTAACACGGTTGCTTTACGATGTTTACAATTCAGAAAAAATACTACTTACAGGAGAAAATCCTCATTCATTTAATGTCGAAAAGCTGGGGGTTGCTTCTTGAGTGTTGAATAGTAACACAGTGGTGTTGGGCATGGACTTTCTAAATATTTTATATGTACATACTAAAAAATATATTGGGGTCTCACACCCAGAAAGATGCTATATTATAGAATTTATTAGCAGGAAAACAGTGTTTCTCAGGAACGTAGTAAATTTCCAGCGATACATGTACTGCCATCCTCCCCCTTCCACTCTGTGCTCTTAATGTGAGACAAGTCGGCGTTTTCGCTAACTTAATGGAAAACTCTTTCTGAGCAAGTCAGGTGAGTGTGTATTCTGCTAAATAATGTGAGCATCAGTTGTATGGTCATGAAATGGAATCCGTGATTCCTCTTAATTTCCAGGAGGGAAAATGAATTGTAGAAATCGGCATTTATTCTGAACGTTAAGTTTGTTATCTTTTTTAATCTTGTGATCCAGCATTCTAAACATCCAAAATGAAAGTCACACGGTGGTTTCTTCTGCACGGTGTGCGCTGCACAACGCTTATCACCTATCATTTGAAATGCCGTTGTTTTGTTTTGTTTTGTTTTTTTTCCAGGAAATGAATGCTAGTCAGAAGGTAATAATAGATTGCATTCGCCATCGTTTTAAAATCATTTACAACAAAATCACAATGACTGCAGAGCTAATCGTGCATGTTTGTTTTTTGTGCAGTTGCCCTCTGGTAGTTCCTGGTTTTAAAACTGATTTAATTAAATGAATCTATCAGCACCTTATGAATAATTATCTACAAAATGTATGGGGGAGATGCCCCACCCATTGACATCACCTGGACTAGGAATTCTTTTCTGTAAATTAAGGTAACACCACGCAGTTCGGTGCCTAATAAGTGCTTTCTAATGATGCACATTTTTATGATGCCTCCTAAGATACCATGGTCTGATTTGTCTCACATTAAAGTAACTTGAGTCACTTGTGAAACTTAGTTATACTTTGCTGCATTTTAATTAACCTTCAACGGCTATTCAGATGGAATGTAAGTTAAATTCTGAAGGAAAGGAAATAAATGTTTTCCATTTTTCACCTTGATTTATTTTCTGTGTGCGAGCAGCTGTGTTTTTGATAGGTTTATGGTTTGCATGAATTAATATTTAAAATGATCCAGGCCAGTGCATGGCTATTGCTGTAAATCTTGATGTTTATTTTTCTGCCTTATAAAATTCTACCATGGCCTACCTGGAATTTAATATTCAGTGGACAAATTAATTGGTCCTCTGCACAACTTTTTTTTTTTAATAAGTGGATTATTTTTTACAAACAAATATGAGCAGATTTAATTGAATCTTTTGTTTAGCTTGCCTCTGAGAACTTTTCGTAATAGAACTCACGGAACTTATCAGCAAATAAATCTCCCTGAGGTAGGAAAAAGCTAGATTTCACATTTTGCTTACTTTGAATTAGCAGCAACTTTGCATAGGTAAATCTGCTCTTGTGCAAAGATGTGAGCAGAATACTTTTAAAAATAAAAAAAAAACATTTTTTTATGTTTCGTGGTTCTAGACTAGAAGCCATACATGCAGTAAATACTGTTTGTTGTTTAACTACTTCAAGCTCCATTTTTTCACATTTTCAAGTTTATTAGGTTTTTAAAAAAAAAAAAATCCACCTGGAAGGCAGCTGCGAGGGAAAACTGCAGTTTGCGTTAAAGATGATGAAGCAGTATTTTCAGCTCCCTGAAAAGCCATCCCTGCTCAAACTGCTGTGATAACTAAAGCTGCGTGAGTGGAAAGAACTGAATCTGTGGTGTTAGTAGTTCTCTCAGGTTTGTTTATGTTGATGTTCAATTGCACTGTGTTTTCCAAATAGTTACTAGAGTTGAGTAATATCCATTTCTATGCAGTGTTACGTATCATTGGCCTTTTGTGAATGTGCATGTTTTAAACCGAAGATTTTAAACATTTTGTCCTCTAATTGTTATTAAAAATGAAATAAACTTGAGCATTGCGTAAAGAAAGCTCGTTGAAGTTTTGCTTGCTAGTTTTACAGATGGTGTTGCTTTATAAAACCTTCAAGTCCATAGTCACCGCAGTCTGTAAAGGTATGTTCATTGAATAGCTTTTTGACATATTTTGTCTGCGACCCAAGTGGTATATAAAACGTCCCTTCATTCTAATCCAGTTAAGCATGAAGTGGAGCATATTAACTCTAGTTTGGTAAGAGGGGGAGTTTTGATAATGAATGAAGACTTTTTTTTATAGAATTATTTTTTCTCTACAGTCAGAAAAGCATCCGGAGATCGTCAACCGTTACATATTTTAAATCATTTTGCAAGTAAACAGCCAGTCTGTGCCTCTATCTTTTTTTACGTAGGATGAATCTCTTAAATTTTCTAAACCCATCAAATTTTTTTTTTTTTAAGTTCATGAGAAAGTGGCCAGGTTTTGCCAGTAACCTTTGAAGGAAGTAACCGGAAAATAATAAAGTTGGGCACATGAGACGAAAATACAGTTTTATCAAAGAGTAAGTGTCCTTTGGTAAAAGAGAAACTAAAGCTGCAATTTTGGTGAACTGCCGGAATAGGGTTAGTTTGCAGACAGACAAATCTGAGGAGCCTCCGGTTTTATTAGACAGAGGGAGTCAGTCAGTCCCCTGATCCTCTCCCCGCCTTCCCGGGGACAATAATCGGGTATGGGTCTCCATGCAAAACCACAGGAAGATAATTATGGAAGTGTTACATCTGAATTGTATCAGATAATTTTCACATCCAACTAAGCAGTGTATACTGACCCTGTCATTGAAGATGCCTCCTAACACCACCATAGAGAAACAGCAAACTGGAACTACATTTCCATGAATTCCATACATCAGCCCACTTAAAGCGTGTTTTTGCACACCTAGGGTGTCTCTAACCT